TCCGAGGTCGTCATTTAGGAACGTGGTGGGTAGCCGAAAACGTAATATGTTGACGATTTGTCACCTAGCATAAAATGTTACGCTTTGGGAGTGAGAACGTGTTGCAGCCGTTGCAATGAGACAGCAAAACAAATAGGCTGTCAGGAGGCCCAGTGCTCCATAACCCTGTCAGACTATGATTTTGCTGTTGGTTGGCAAACAAAAACAACAAAATAAAGACAGACAATGAGCAACATTAGGAAAAAGACGTAGATAAGGAAATAGAAAAGGGTTTTCTTACAAAATTGAAAAAAAAATGTGTAAGACGAGAGATATTCCATTGCACACACAGTGCTGAAACTGTTTTGTCTTCAGCCCTTGTTCTGTAGAAGAAATTCAAGCTGTCCTTCAGCACAAAATCTAGCAAGATGAAAAACAAACAACAGGTAGGAACAGCTGCTCTCAAACTAAAGCCCTCAAACACCTTCAGGGACAAAGGAAAAAAAAAAAAAGTATTTCTAGAGTCAAACAGAAAAGCCAAATAAGACACAAAAGGCCCAACGAACAAAAAAAAAGAAAAACAACAAGAGAAGAAAACTCACATGCGGCTGCTCGGTGGAATCTTGCGCCCATCTCTGAACCAGGTGACTTGTGGCTGAGGGAAGCTGCGAATGCGTGGTGCTGGAATCACAGCACCCTCTCCCTGAGAGACTGACTGGGTACGTTCGCCTTCCTCAAAACTGCCCATAACTAAAGGAAAACACACAATACACAGACAAAAACAAGGGAAGCAACAGAGAACAAGAGAGTGAGACTGACAGTCGCAGGAACAAATTACTCTTGCTTTCTTCTTCTTTGACTTTTGCTAACCACAGAGCTTTTGTCATCTGCTGTCTATTGTGAAATTTCACACTGAAACTATTTGATGGACAGCAAAGTGTTGTTGCCATGGTTTCCATGTACATCAAGCAAGGCTAGAAGGAACCGGCACGTAACGACTCACAGAGGGACATCGAGGGACGCTAAATTGACTAATATTCATATCCCGTATCCTCCTGTGTGGATGTATCAAAGGCAATCAATCTCGATCACGCACTAAATTTGTGCATTGCGCAACATAGTAGATGACCAGCTATGCCGCTTCTCTATTATCTCGTAATATATTTCATTTGTTAGAGTATTTTTTATTCATCCCTTGCCTCATTATATCTTAAAAGCTGACAAAACGCTGGTCTAATATTACCTCCCCTGCTTTCCACTCCCGATTTCTAATGGGAATTTATCAACTAGCTGTAAATTCATCTGTTGTGGGCTGTGAAATTCCCCTATGCTGTTACATTAGCAGATGCTGATTGTAAACCTTTACAGGACAACAGTAACAAGTAGACTTTATGTTTTCCTCCTCCAGCACAGTCTGAAACACAGTCGCAGCATTATTTTTCTCCAAAGATCACATATTTGCCTCCGTGATTTAAAGGGGAACAATAGGCAGAAATAAACAAAATGTTACATTGAAAACCCAATTATGACACATTTTGGAGATAATATCTCGGGAACATTCAGGGACGAAGGTGAGTCTGAACCGAGGATGCTGCGGTGGTTGTGAATCGATGGCAGACTTATTTTTTCCTCACTCTCTTTCAAGAGAATAAAAAAAGGTAATCTGGCTTTACGCTGCAGCTGTGGTGCTTAGCTTAAATGAAAATCTGGGAAGTGTGCAAATCCCCCGACTTTGATCTGCAGTTTCAGTGATGTGATGTCCTCCTCCCCTTCTTCCCTAATCTCTAATGCCTCGGCATGTTTCCCTTTCTCCGAGGTGTGTCTCTGTAATTCTAATTGTGCTGCCTCAATAGAATAGTTTCTAGAAGAAATCTCGCCATCTATCCTTCCTTCTTCCTTCTTCTCCCTCTCCCTCCCTTGTCCAGCTCATCCATTCCTTTTGCAGGTGTCCTTAATTCTCCTTTTTTTACTCTGCGTCACCATCCATACCACTTCATGAGCAACTGAGAGGGAAGAAGAGAATTATGGAAATGGGAAGTGTTGGGAATAAATAGGAACTGAAATAACAGCAGGGTGGCGGCCAAGAAATAAATAGAAAGCAGTGGTGGCCAGATGACAAAGTCAAGAGAGGGAGAGGAAGCCGAAACAACAAACAGAACCAGTGATGGACGCCACAAAAACTCCGTCTGCTGGAGGAGAGGCTTCGGCAACAGCGTGTTTGCCGAATACGAGAGAAGTCGACCCGTGGGGCTCAATTTCCTATCACCCTCCCATTTCTTTCTCTTTAGTGGCTAGTTGAGTGCATCAACAGGTACAGCTGTACGTTACATCCATTCAAATGCGGCTGGAACACAGGGAAGCAAGTGAACCAGGCATACCCTAGTAAGGCACGATAATGGACAAGTTGTGTATATGGGAAGGGAGGGTGGATCTGATGTGACAACACTCCAGACACCTCAGTGGCACGTCTAATAGCTCGTTAACAAGACGAGGGAGATGAGTGGCCTGAAAACGAATGTGAAAATTTGCAGAAACACTGTGCACGGGAGCTCTATTTTTGCCAAAGAAACAACAGATGTTGTTGACAAAGGAGAGAGAATGAAAAAAGCAGCGGTCATATTGAAATGAAGCAAAGTTAAAAAGAACCATGGCAACAATATCAATCTAATGAGAATGCTGAGTGGAACAGCTGTCTGGGATGATAACACTCTGAATGAGATGCAGGTAGATCTTTCACCCTGCCAGCATCTGTCCCTCCCTAGTCAGTCCTTGATACAAAGGCACCCAAAGATAGCGTGGGCCTACTGTGTACTAAACTGCCGCAGTTAAGCGCACACGCGGTCTCTCGCTTAAATCAGCATGTGTCTATTAGACAGCCGTTTATTCATTCGTTGGATCTGTGCTTCAGCTGCGTCCTGTGTTAATACTTACAGGCCACTTGTACTTCTGTGCGCCTCTGCAGAAGGGCTCCCACCCGATTTCTCACAATGCAGCGGTAAAAGCCAGCATGGGAGCGGTCCAGTGAAGGGATTAGGTACCTTTTAACAAGCACAGAAACACACGAGAAAAAGATTTAAATACTTTTAAACTCTTAATAAACTAAAAAAAAAAAAAACTAATTAAGACAAAAGTAGAATTCAAAGAAGTTTTTTAATTTATAGGCACGAACAAGCTGAAAAGCATTTGAGTGCGCACACACATTAAATACACAAACTTAAGACTATCTAATAGAAGAACAAGGGCATTGAGGACATCGCAGCTTAGCTGTTGTTTATTCCACCGATAATGATACTTGAGAGGCTAACCCAGCCATCACAGTGAAGCCATCCCTCACACACTTACTTAGACACAGGCACTAAGCTCAGACAGCAAACACCTGCATTAAAATGTCTTTTATGCAAACATACACACACACACACAGAGACAAACAGAACACCCCCCTGGGACAAAGGTTGAAGCCTCATGTCTTCAGCAGCTGACATTCTCACGATGACCTTGACTTCGGTGTCCAGCTGTGATAGCAGTACTGCCTCAGTGCCAGGTGGCGGCAGAGTGACGTGTACTTTTTGCAAGGATAGAAGTGTACACTTAGCACTGTCTTGCTCTATATTGTTCCTTCTGCCACATCTGATGATACAACTATGGTAAAAGGATAATGAGTAAGTAAGGTGTCTAAGGTTTGGGCTTGAGAAAGGACTGCATTAAAACAGTCCCTGTTTTGTTGCAATTAGACTGCAAAGACACACCTAGAAATGACTTAAATCTCATTCTGTCAGACTCCACTAGTGTCGTAACGCCACTTTTGGCATCAGTGCCTCGACTCACCACCTGCTGTAATTTCTGAAGCCAACAGATAATGCTCCTCTTTTAATGAGGAACAAAGTACGCATCTGGAAGTTGGTTCGGAAAAGGCTAGTCAGAAGATGATGGTTTGTGTACTAATTTTTTATTTTCAAATTCATTTCCAAGTTAGATCACATCCTAACATTAACCCTGCAGGCTGAAAAATGCCGCTTAGCCAATGCGTTTAAATATAAAACCAAAAGGTCCTTTGAAAGCATTGATTTATGACAAGCTGGGAGTGAGAATGGGCAGTTTGATGAAGCCAAAAAGAGAAAACAATGACTTTCTGTTTATTCAACGCAGGTATAGACCTTTGCTTTTAAAAAGTTTCAAGCACATTGAACTTCTAATTGTGTTCTGTTGAACAAAAAGCTTGTAAATTGAGTTGTTAGGGTATCAATTGTTTACTAAATTGATTACCTGAAAGCTAATAGGTGAATATGTGGTATAGTGGTGGGCATCCCCAGTTTGAGACTAGGAGGAGACATAAATCCACCCTAAAAAGATGAGAAGACAGTGTACTCTTTCTGCCGGACAAATGAGAAGGTTCAGATAGGAAGGGCATCTGGCATAAAAAAAACAAAAAACTGTGCCAAATCAAATTTGGGGATCCATCCGCCATGGCAGCCCCTTGGGAAAATAAGGGAGCAGCCAAAAAAAACCTTTCTCATTACTTGCAAAGTGATACTCGAGTGTGTGCGTGTGTCTTTTCAATATCTGGAAAACACCTGGCTACGTCTGTGAGAGAAAACTTCAATAGCACCAGGATACGAAATGGATTAGGGCAATTCATTTTAGAGATCAGGCACACCTCAAAACGGCAGGTATCAATGTCCTAAAACCTTCCAATAACTAAAAGAAATGACTGCACCGAGGGAGCTACAAGGAGCGGCCGGCTGTTAAAGTGGTTGCACGGACAGTCTCTAATGGCATGTTACATAGCAGCACAACATGCAGAAGTTGCGAGTTAGCCTACAGCCAGTTGCACATGTTTAATTTGAAAGTCACTCTAGCACAGCACACTCTTGTCAAAATAAATACTTGTAGGAGGTGAAACAGTTCCCACTAGGAGCATGTGTGACAGCAAAGCTGTCACATTCCTGCATGGTATGTGCTCAGAAATGCTTAGAGCACTGCCAGGCAGATTGTTTGAGAGTAACCTTTAGTAATGGTATGTACTGGTTTCTATAGTAACCACATGCAGTTTGTTTAAAAAGTTTTTTGTGATTTAACCTTTTGTTTACACAGGGCTTTTTTGTCATGAATCAGTGTTTGGCGAGAACATAAGTGAGACTATTTGTTATAAAAAGAGCAATTTCATAGTTCAGAAGTGCATTCAACAAGCTGTTTGCAGTAAAGTTGGATGCTCGCAGAAGCAAAACTATAACCGCAAACAAAGCAGTTGTATTTTAGGGACCATCAAAAGAATTATTCCCCTAAAAATGCTCTGTTACATATGCCTAATGGTACCTAAATATCTGAAAAGCACTCATCTGGTCTCTTCTGTAGTTGACTAAAAATGCATCAAGAGATTCAAAAGCACTGCAGAGAGCTCAAGGCTCAAGAGGAGAAAAAATAAATATCTATTTTCTAATAGTGTTTTTAAAGCAAGCGAACCAAAAATATACCCTCTTGCATTACACGCAGTACATAAATATATTTAAAAAGTTTCCACATAGAAGTAGGCTAGAATATATTTTTTCAATTTGGTGATTTTGATCAGGCTGACAATCAGACTTTAAAGTAGAAACAAGCATCTATTTTGCTTTAGGGTCATTCAGAACAATTTTACTTGATCTACACTGATCAAATATTCACATAGTGAGGAAAAACCAACACCCAAGAAGGAGCTGCTAGAGCAACTTTAGTGTGCTGTCAGTGTAGTCTCTCTGAACTAAGTCTCTAATTTGATGTTTTAAACATGGTGGTCGAGAACACCATCACTCATTCTCATTAGACGACTGAGTCGCATGCTTTGGAAAGTAGAATCTGCAACAGTTTTGCTTTTTCAAATCAGCTTTTTCTATGTCACCAGTCTCTCATGTATGTGTCAGAAAACTTAATTTCACACCACCTTTAACATGCAAGACAACAAATAAGCAGATAGCTGTTGATTTGCTGTTCCACATGAAAAGGAAGAATTAATGGATAGTGCCCTTAACTAGAAGAGCATGGTGCTGTGCTCAGGATTCTGGTTTCTGCTAGTTGGATAAAAAACTCTGCATTCAAATCTCTGCATGTGAACTTCAAAAAGACGAGGATGCCATTATCCTGTTGGACAAGGAATCTTCCTAAGTCCTCCATCGAACAGAGTAGAGATCTGTCAGCAACCACTTGGCAATCATTAGTCACAATATAAAAATGTGCATTTCTCCACTGATTGTGAGTGATTGCTGTGTCAAAGTAACAGGGGGTCATTGATTAGAAACTGATCAATGTAATGATCGTTTGCTAGGAAAGACTATGTATTCTGCCACTGGTTGGGGAGCAACTGCTGAAGGTTGCTGGCCATCCCAAGCATGCGGTATACGGCGCTTGTTTGTGTTGGTTGATGGCAGATTATTGCGATAGCTAGAGGTTTGCATGGAACGAAACTTGAAACTGAGTTTGCAGCGCAACCTAAATTGCAAATGGAAAACTTACCCCTTCAAAATAAAAGCAGCGACTTGCAACTACAACCAACACAATTCAAAAGATACAGTTTTTACTTTGAAGATGAAAGTTCTTCATTTCCAGTTTGTGTCTCACTTTTTGAAGTTTCACTAACCACTCACGGTCTAGTTTGCTCTTTGAATCATCCCGATAGCTCGAAAAGGTCCAGAAAGCCGACTCTGTTCTTTAAATGTAGTGCTTTTGAAATTGATATAGTGCCGTAACAACAAATGGCTGGATGTGCTGGAAGGCTTTTAATATCTATAACAAAAAAAATGAAGTGGTATCAAACCTCATTACCAGCAGCGCCACTTGGGCCCGAAGGACTAAATGAGTTTTAGCCCAAAGTCTGTTAAGGCTTAATCAACTAATCAGTAGGCTCTATTAATGATGTGTGACTCCTTTCATATGTTCCATCAACTAAATGAATACAATTACGTATATATGCTATGCATAAATGGAAGGGAGAGGAGGTGAATAGATAATGGGAAGACTGTTACAAAAAAAGTGAGCTCGCTCAGTGGTTTGGAGAAGAAGAAGCAGATATCGAGCGAGAAATATCTGACAGGTGGTGTCGTTGCTCGAAGTTTAACCTCACTGAGGCCTAGAGAGAATTCACCCTAGAGCCAGAACCTTCAGGGTGACTTTAGTTAGTATTCTTTCACTTTCTCTCCCTCTCTTTCTCCCTCTTTCACTCTGTCCCTTATATAATGAATACAATTAACCTTTGCAGAGTTGTGCACGTTGGCAGCAGGTTGGGGGAGTCAGCGGGGGCTCGCTGTGTTGGACAGAGATTGATTGATGTTCCTGTGGTCAGCACACTCCGTCAGATCCCCTTTAATTAGCCCCACTCAGGAGAAATGATTAGTTGGAGGAGTGGCAGGGAGACGGATAGAGGGACATGAGAAAGAGGGGAGGACTTGGCATAAAGTGGGTTGGAGATGGAGGAAGGCAGAGAGAACAGAAGGGATGGAAGAATGAAAACAGGTTAGAGAGACGGGGAAAAGATAAAGAGATGGCAGCGGATAACTGGAGAAACCATCATCTTTGATTGTAAGTGGCTGCAGTGCACTCTTTTTTAGAGCGTTCCCATAATAACATCATACCTTCACCAAGGTTAGCTCCAATAACATTCGACTTTAATTGCTAGTTAAACACTAGCATTATAAAACCTCATTCACACACTGCAAGGACACTGTAATTACAGCCTATCTTATCATAAAAGTAAATCATAATAAATTATAAAGCATCATAAATTTATTATGAGCTGGTAATGACACCAACATTTTTTCTCTACTAAACACTGCAATTAATTAGAAACCAGATCTGAAAGTGTGTGTGTTGTTGATGCTGTGTCACGTGATGCAAAGATCAGATTTGACTAAAAAACACGAAACGAAGCACGATGTGTGACCGCTCACTCATAATGAGCTCCCCCCTCATGTTACAGTTACAGCTAACAGAGAGGTCTTCAACCTCATATAACAGTTCGATGTCACTTTACTTTTCTTAACGAGTTCACTTAACAGCAACACGGCGTACT